TAGTACTTCCCTACACACGACTCACACGTGCGAGTGTGAGTCCCCAGGGCGCTCGCACACCCCCTGGACCCTCTGGTCAAGCTAATTTGTAGCGACGTCCGGAGGTCAGCGGAACCCCATAGTGTCATGCGCCTCATGAACACCCTCATCTGTGTGCTTTCGCACCTGTGCGCATTCGCGCTCATCATAAGGTGCGCGTCCGCACTCATCATCTCTAGGGGAAGTAGCCCTATGCTTATGAACATACAAAATGCATGAGGTCCCTCTAAATCCATCGTAATGTCTCTTCTGACACAACTCTCTAGTCTCATCTCTTTGTTACTCTAGGTAACGCATACTCGTGGATATTTATATTAATATCATTTTCATGCTCTTAGGGTTGTGTCCTACGTCGATCTAACGACATGATGCAATATGGCACTCATCATCATCTAGCATGCTCAATATGGAACACATCATCATATTAAGGTAAAAATCATGCAATCATCATGCTCCTCATAATGCCACAACGTGCGTCAAACATATCAAGCGTCACTCAACAAAATATGTATATACTAGCACATATCATCAAGCATCATATAATTTATTTAGCCTATCCTAGAGTAAGGCCACTTACTTGGTTTAGCACATATCATCAAGCATCATATAATTTATTTAGCCTATCCTAGAGTAAGGCCACTTACTTGGTTGAGCACATATCATCAAGCATCATATAATTTATTTAGCCTATCCTAGAGTAAGGCCACTTACTTGGTTGACCTTGGCCGAAGTACTCCCTAAATAGCTAAACGTAAGCTCCCGTTCCGTGAGAGCTGCTTCCTACGTCGCCGGGGTTTGTTTCCTACCACACCGTTCACCACTTTCCGTTAGTATTTCACAATTAATTTACCTTTAATTTAATAAATGTGAAATACGGCTCTGAAACGGCCTCGGATACCTTAATCGGGGCCGAAAACAGATTCGGGAGGGTCGGAACAGTGGAAACCGGGCTGAAAACAGGTGAGCCGAGCCGAACAGCCGCTGGAGCCGCCGGAGGAGCCGCCGGAGCGTCACCGGAGGGAGCCCGAGCCGTTTGCGCCGAGCCGAGCCGAGGGACTTCCACGCCGCTGTGTGACACGTGACAGCAGCAGAGAAAGCCACGTCGGGCGGTAGTGTCGGGTCGAAGCGCGGGTCGCAGTCCGGTTCGGGTTGTGGTTCGGGTCGCGGGCTGTGGAAGGCTACTGGGCCAAGGCTAAACGTTGGGTCTCGGCTTACTGGGCTGGGCCGCAAGTGTTTGGTTTGCAGGCCGGCTCAATTGGACCGTGGGTCTAGTCTGGGTTGGTTCAACTGAACCGTAGCTTCTGGGCCGGTTTGAGGTTTGGGCCGCTGTAGTTGGGCTGGGCCGAAGGCAGAGGCTAAGAGAGGAACGGGCTGGCTCTGCCGGGTTCTGGGTTTGGGTTGACCCGGATCCGTGGATCTCGTCTTCCTTACCCGACTTTGGCTGATTTTCCGGCGAGCTTTCTCTCTCCTTCCCGCAGCGTTTCCGTTGCCGATTTCGGACCTTTTCCTTCCCCTTTTCCTCTTTGTTCGTCGTCCTTCTTTCCTTTTTGGGAGTTTTGCGGCCTAAAAGCTCCTAAAAGCCATAGATCTAAGAATCCATTAAGAAACCTAATTTTCCGACCTCGGTTACCGACGACGACGCTTACGAAATAACACAAAACGCACCCTGAGTTATTGTGCTTTCGTTAGGGATCTCTCTTATGGTAGTAACAGGTCGTTTGGTGTCGGTTTAAGGGTGGTTTGAGGGCTCGTCGGAGAAACTGGACACTCGCCGGCGTTTGTCCAAAATCTCTCTCTCTCTCAAAATTCTCTCTTTTCTCCCTTTGCAGGTGTTCTGAAGATGCTGGGCTGAGGGTGGGCGTGCTGTGGCCGTCGTTTTGCGTGGGTTCCGCGAAACTCGGCGGTCGCCGGAAAGCTCGCGGGTTTTCCGGCGACTGGGTTTTTTTTTTTTTTTTCGTTTTCATTTATTTATTTTATATATATATATATATATATATATATATATATATATATATATATATATATATATTTCTTTCTCGGGTCGTTACAGCAAAGATAGGAACTCAGTCTCATTGTCTGATCTAACTATCTTGATTGTAGTATGAAATTGAGTTTGAACGAATTTAACAAAGCTTACTGACAAATGATGTACTTCTGATTTGTGTTGCATAAGAAAAACCTAAGTACATCGAGTAAAATCATCAACAACCGTGAGAAAAAACGCAAACTAGAATAGGTTGAAATTTTATGTGATCCCCAAACATCACAAGGTAATAGATCAAAGGCAGAATGAGTTGTTATTGAACTTCTTGAGAAAGACAACCTAGTTTGTTTTGCTAATAGGCAAATACTACAATTATGAGAAAGAGTAGCATTATTAAGATGCAATTGATCAGCTAAAAATTTAAAATGAGAAGAAGAATGACCTAGGTGTAAATGCCACAAATCAGATGACTGAGATACTTGATTTGTTGAAGATTTGATTGGAGATAAGAAATATGATAGAGACCTCCGAATTGTTTACCTGAGCCAATCATCTTCCCCGTAGCCAAGTCCTGCAGCATTGATGTTATTATCAGAATTACCAAAAGGACAATGATTGAGTGTAGATAAGGCTTGTACAATGTGTTGTAATGGGTTAGAAGAAAAAATTGGGATGGAATTAGGTGACTATTCTTTTGTATTCAACAGAGAAACGTTGGCCATATTTGCAGATGATTGATATCCTCGATTGTTGCGTTAATTGATTTGTACTACCCTTCTAGAATTATTTTTATGTTGACATCGGTCTTTTGTATGTCCCTTATATCACAAAATTTACCGTGAAACTTAAGGATTCGGCACTCATCAATTGTATGACCACTTTTATTTCAGTGTTCACATGATTTATCCTTGGCGAATTTTGAATGTTGTTTTCTTCTGCACTGCTGATGTAATCTAGAAATTCTGAGTAGTTCAGAAGTTACCTGACGCTGCATCTCTTCTTGTACAAGTAATGAATAGGCTTGCCTAACATTAGGTAATGGAGTCATCATCAATATGTTAGATCTCACCGTTTTATAAGACTCATTGAGTCCCATGTGTAGTTGCATCAACTTGTCTTCTTCGCGTTAATCAACATATATTTGACGTTGATTACACGTAAATGGTGTTGATGAAGTTGACAAAGGAATAATATTGAAGGACGGTTTGAGAATCCCAGCCCTGAAAGCCCTGCCTTCGTTCCCTTTGTAGATACATAAATTCGATAGAGCTCCTGCAGGATTTTCAATATCCAATGATTGTTTCTTGGAAAAGTCTTTTCTGGAATGCTCTTTCAAAATCAGATGAATCAGAAGCGCAATCCAACGAATGAGATCGGTGCAATCCTTTTTCATGACGTTTCCGGAGGCAGTTATGGATCTGCCTGACATCAGAACAAAATCACTTACAAGATCAAGAAGTTCGCCAACGATCACCTTGCTCATTACCACATAGGTTGGGAGGATTCTCTTTCTCCTGCAAAACCAATCACAATAATCTCAAGGCCAAGATTTTATTGTTGCTTTATATTTTAGGTTGGTCTAGTTCACAATGTAGTAGAAGCTCAAATATCGGTAGGCTAAGTTAACCTAGTTGACGATGTTTAGAAACATAGTTGAAGCTCAAGTATCAGTAGGCTCTAGGATTCATACAGTTGTCACGCACAGTGGAAGCTCAGGAATTGATGGGCTCCAGGGTTGATCCAATTGATGCTGTCCAAAAATGCTGTAGAAGCTCAAGGATCGGTAAGCTGTAGGGTTGATCTAGTTGACACTGTCTAAAAACGCTGTGGAAACTCAAGGATTGATCGACTTGAAGGTTGATCTAGTTGATGTTGACCAGACATATAGTGGAAGCTGAAGGTTCAATAGGCACCATGGTTGATCGAGTTGACATTGTCTAGAAACATAGTAGAAACTCAATGATGGTTTGGCTCTACGGTTGATCCAGTTGACACTGTCCAAAAACGTAGTGGAAGCTCAAAGATCGATAAGTTATATAGTATTGATCTAGTTGACATTGTCTAGACGCGTGACATTCAACATGTTAAAAGAGAAAATAAAATTTGTTGAATGCATTGTTAAATATGTAAAAAAAAAAAAAAAAAAAAAAAAAAAAAACTATCAGACAAAACAATCAAAGAAATAAATTTGGGAGGTTGAAGCCAAACTCCATGAGTGGAGGAGTCTTATCCATCAATGAAGCAAGAAGATGGAAGTTCTAAGAGAGGAGTGAGCAAATAAGAGGTAAGCAATGCATGTAGAAGTACTACAAGTAGAGTGAGCACGAGAGAGGCAACCAAGGCCACATAAGTGCTCCTAGAAGTGAACACGTGTATTCCTTGAGTCATCATCCCATGTCTAGACAGGGTGATTTCACAATAAATGTCAAGACAAGTATTTGCTTGAAAAAATGCACAAAGTTGGATGTCAAAGACATAGAAAAATGAAGTTGCAGCAAAATCAGGAGGAGCATCAGTGCAACCATTGCCAACAAGTGAAAGGCCTACGTTAAAAGCTTCGATAAGAAATATGTGTCACATGGTCAAGATGAGGAAATATTGTGCTTAAGAGAGTATGTCACAACCGTACTATAAAAATAATAGGTTAGGAACCCCACACGTAGACAAATAAGGCTGTGACACAGAAGTGGTGCCCAACCCATCAAATGAGTGTCGAGACAAGACTAAATGTCATAAAGTTAGTGAAGAACTCAATCTATCACTCAAAAACAAAACACATCATAAGACGGTACCATTTCACTAGTCAGTCAACAAACCCTGTTCTTTTTCATCAAAGAATCAAATCTGTTCAAAACCCAACGACTCCCTAAACCTCAAAAAACAAAAAAAAACATTTTTTTTTTCCTTTTTATGGTCCTCCACAGGTCCCCTCATAACCAGACACCAGAGTCAGTTTTAATATGAAACAAAGGAAAGGGAACAACAAAACTAACGACGAGACAGCTTCAAATTTCACAAAACATAATCTTTGAAGAACAATCCACAAAATACAACGCCACTGCCACTGCCAAAAGACAAAAAACAAAGAAAACAGCCCTTCAACACAAAAAAACAACCCCCACCTAAAACATACAAAGAAAAAACAACACCCCAATAACCTTAACATCACAATCATCTTTGTCCCTTTCTTTCTTACATGATTGAGCAACTGCTGCGTGTGTTCTCATCACAGAACATGTCAGCTGCAGAGTTACTACTTTGTCCATGGTAGTAATGACCATCCTCTGCACAAGGATAACTTGGATAAACAGGGCTACAATTGTAATTGTAGTAATACCCTGTATTTGGTGGAACCAATTGAGCTCTATTGTACATCATTTGAGGCTGCTGGTTCATTGCCTGCCTGTTTACCATGTTGTTCGTGTCCATGTTCATGTTCATGTCCATTAATGGCTGCTGCTGCTGCTGCTGCTGATGATGATGATGGTACTGACCAGTTGCCATGGGGAATCCAGAGGTTGAAGATGGCTGGTAGCTGAAGTATCCTCCTTGAGAGGTGTTTGTTGAATTGACACCAATTGAAGAAGATGTGGCAAAATTTAAATGGTTGCCGCCGTTGAATCCCGCCATGTTCATCATTGAATTCAGGTCATTGTTGTTCGCTCTTCTCGGCTCCCCAGGATTGATACTTCCTCTGCCCATGCCAAACGGTTGAGGAATGTTCATGTTCAGAGGTTCCAAGGTTTTCTGGTCCATCCTAGAGGGGATGTTCTTTCTGGCAACTGCCTGACCTGGGCCTATTGGCTTCCTGGGAGTCGCTCGCTGCCTGTGAAGATCAAGATTAGCTGCCCTGAACTGAAACGCTCCTTCCTCACCACCAAAACAACCATCAATGTCATCATCGCGGCAGTAAAGTGGAGTCAGTTTGGGTCCCTTGTTAGAAGATTTATGGTCGTTGCTCTTTGGTTTCGAGCTGGTGTCGGATTTCTGCCACCAAAGCTCAGCATGTTTTCCAGCTCGGACCAGCTTATTGATCAAAGTGGCAGAATCTACACTTCCTAAAACTGTAACCTTCTGATCCTCTGCTCCTATAGCAACCTGAAAAACCCCTGTTCATACAACATACATTCATCAAAAGATTCCTTAAATTCCTCTGTTTTAAACAAGATTCATCACAAAATTTCAAAACCAAACAGAAATGTTTCTTATTTTCTCTCACTTTCCCAGTAACCAAACAAGCTAGATCCAACTAAACAGCAGTCTACTTAAAACATTGTTTTACATTACAAAGAACATAGAAAAAAGAAGAACAAACCTTCTATCCTGTGAAGAAGTTTCTTCACTTTCTGCTTACACCCATCACAGTAAATGTTGACTCTGAGATCACAAGTCTATAAAAGGAAAACAAATACTCAAAACAGAGATTTACAGAGTCACACACACACACACAAACACAAACACACACAACAAAATGTTCCTTTAGCGAACGTAGTAGGAGCAGGAAGTAAAGAGAAAAAAAGGCAACTTTTTTAAGAAAAACAAAGAATTGTGGAAAGTGGGTTGTAGAGAAAGGGGGAAAACCTGAAACTTTAGTAGCTTAAAATCATCCTCTTTGGTCATTTCTTGGGGGGATGGGGTTAGTGTAGAGAGAAAGGGGGGTTAATGGGCAGGCATGGGAGGAGGGGGGTTAATTTATTCAGAGGACTGAGAGAGTTACCTCAAAAGCAAACAAAGGAAAGGAAAGGGGGCACATGGGAGAGAAGGGGGAAAAGAAAAGGAGAGATTTTGATTTTGAAAAAGTGGGAAGAGAGAGAGATAGAGAAAAGGGGGGTTTTGAAATTGTGAGATGATGTGATTTAACGTTAAACACTGAGGAAACAAATAAAACAACAGCGACTTGACAGCCCCACTTCTTTCTCTCTGTCTATCGCTCAGTTACCATATTTTGGCTGCTTACAACCTTCCATTTAGTCAATCTCTCTGTCTCTATGGTTATCTGTTTCTCTCTCTCTCTCTCTCTACTTCACAGACTTGGTTTGTTTTTGGATGAATGCCCCAATTTTTTTGGTCTAACTCAAGTACCTTTTTTTAAATAAGGGACAAACATTGTTGGTTGTCTTTTTAACTATTTTTTATGCAAGATACACGGGATACATGTACAACCAGAGACCTATGTACTTGATTAGTATTTGAGGAGTTACGAAAGTTAGATACATGTATTAAGTTATGTATCATCATAATAATGGTTCATATTAAGTAGATTCACTTTTTGTTTACATATTTATTAGAGTGCTTAAAGTTTCAAATTCTCTAATCTCATATCACGATCTTGAGTTATTTAATCTATTGAAAGTGTCTTTACCTAGTCATTCTCATTCTAGTGCTCTACTCTTAATTTGGTACATTCATTCATGCTTTAATTAAGGAGATGATATTATCAATCACCTAGCACAATGAAATCACTCTTAGTATATATACAAGTTCAACAAGGAGATGATGTTCATTATGGCGCGAAGAACATAATGTATTCTCAAAAAACAGACATGCAAGCTCAATAGGAGGTAACATCCAACAATGATCTAAAGCACAAAGAAAAAAAAATGTTGAGGGATCTCATGCATGTTTGTGTGATTATTCTAGTCGTGAATTGTTTCTCCAGTTATGATTTATTTGTATGTGTAAATTCATGATTTACATTTCCCATTCTTTTTTTTTTCCTGGTTTCACCAACACGAGCATACACATGCCCATATTCAAGTCTAGGGAGAGTATGTAAGTGATGATCACCCAATGAGTCTATGTGCGTATGCCTGAGTTGTGTGTAAAAGAGTAATGCAGCCTAATTAGACATAAAAAAAAGTGGAGCCCGAGGAGAATCAAGTTTTACGTCCCTCCAATCATAATAGTCATAGTCATGTTATATGTATTTGCATTTCTCAATCCCAACAATAGGGTCACCTAATGAATTTTATAAATATACAACCTTTTCCAAACCATGTTTTTAGGTAAGATAAAAGAGAATTCAAATGGGTTACAACTTGTGATTTAGAGGTTAGTAGACAATCCTTTTATAATGACTCTAGATTTCTACTCACCTAAAATTTCGTTATTATAACATACTCTCTTATGCATAAATAAACATTTAAAACTTCATCATAAAACACTGTCATTGACTTACATGTTTGAAAACATCTTTAAAACAACACAACGAAATACTAAATAAAACCAATAAAGATTAAAAGTAAAAACATCATATATTATCCTAAAGTCTAAGAATTAAAATACAGTTACCCTATGTGTGTCATGATCTTTACTTGTGACATCGTCGTTAGTCGTATAGGGGTGTTTTGTCTTTATCTGAAATAGAAGTAGCACAAGACTAGAGAATTTTAAGAAATACTTGATAAGTAACACCAGTATTGGGGTCAAGGAATGCAAACACATACAACTCATGATTATGGACCTATCGTTAAAACCATCATAGAGGTGGCATCCAGTCCAAACAAAATTGGATGTGTAGTACTTCCCTACACACGACTCACACGTGCAAGCGTGAGTCCCCAGACAGTTCGCACTCTCTGGACCCATCATAGTCGGGCTAGTTGTATGTAGTCGGATGTTTGAAGGTCAGCAAATCCCCGAGTATTATGCAAGGCACGATGATGATGATGATCATCATAGTGTATGCGTCCATACTCATCATCATAAATGAAAAAGTAACCCGACGTATATGAACATACAATATGCATGAGGTTCATATAGTTTTCATCTTATGACATAACTCTATACATCATTCACACATTACCTTAGGTAACACGCATGAATTGTAACACGCATGAATTTGTTAGGCTATGGAGCCTGATACTTATTTATAGCTTGGTCAACGGTTATATTGGTAAGCTATATATAGTAAAGCTATATATGGTAAAGCTATATCCGGTAAAGCTATATATGGTAAATAGTTATATATAGTAGATGGCTAAATCTGGTAAAGCTATATATAGTAAACTATACCATATATATATCTGGTCCGGTAGAGCTTTGAAAATGTACTTTTCTCTGTAATTCTCTCTGTACGTACGTGAAGTCATCAATACAAAAAATCCTTTTAGCCAGAGTTCTCCTTGTAACTTCTCTCTATCCTTCTCTTTGTGTTCATCTAGATCGAGGGTGTGCGTTGTTGTGCGATCCTAACAACTGGTATCGATCCTAACAACTGGTATCAGAGCGAGGCGAAATTCACCACGATCTGTGAAGATGGAAAGTTCAAAGATTGGAATTGAGAAGTTCGATGGATCCGATTTCGGTTTCTGGAAGATGCAGATTGAAGATTATCTGTACCAGAAAGATCTTCACGAACCTCTGTTGGGGGTGAAGCCGGATACCATGACCACGGAAAAGTGGAAGCTCAAGGATCGACAAGCGTTGGGGCTGATCCGGTTGACGCTATCCAGAAACGTGGCGTTCAACATTATCAAGGAGAAGACAACGTCAGGTCTGTTGAAGACGCTGTCGAATATGTACGAAAAACCGTTGGCTATGAACAAGGTGTATTTTGATGCGGAGATTGTTATAAGTCCTTGTGAGAACTGCGTTATGAGCAAACATAAACGAGTTAGCTTCACAAAGACTGTTAGAGAATTCAAGAAAGTATCGGAGGGAGCTCCCTCGATCGTGAGCATCGCTGAAACCCCGGAGGGGGCTGCCTCGATCGTGAGCATCGCTGAAACCCCGGAGGGGGCTGCGTCGGTCGAGAGCATCGCTGAAACCCCGAAGGGGGCTGCGTCGGTCGAGAGCATCGCTGAAACCCCGGAGGGGGCTGCGTTGGCCGGAAGAAGCGTCGCTGAAGCTCCAGAGGGAGTTGCGTCGTCCGGAAGCGTCGCTGAAGCTCCAGAGGGAGTTGCGTCGTCCGGAAGCGTCGCTGAAGCTCCAGAGGGAGTTGCGTCGTCCGGAAGCGTCGCTGAAGCTCCAGAGGGAGTTGCGTCGTCCGGAAGCGTTGCTGAAGCTCCAGAGGGAGTTGCATTGTCCGGAAGCGTCGCTGAAGCTCCAGAGGGGGTTGCGTCGCTGAAGCTCCAGAGGGGGTTGCGTCGGTCGGAAGCGTCGCTGAAGCTCCAGAGGGAGTTGCGTCGTCCGGAAGCGTCGCTGAAGCTCCAGAGGGAGTTGCGTCGTCCGGAAGCGTCGCTGAAGCTCCAGAGGGGGATGCGTCGTCCGGAAGCATCGCTGAAACTCCAGGGGGGTTGCGTCGCTGAAGCTCTAGAGGGGGTTGCGTCGCTGAAGCTCCAGAGGGGGATGCGTCGTCCGAAAGCGTCGCTGAAGCTCCAGAGGGGGTTGTGTCGCTGAAGCTCCAGAGGGGGTTGCGTCGCTGAAGCTCCAGAGGGGGTTGCGTCGGTCGGAAGCGTCGCTAAAGCTCCAGAGGGGTTGCGTCGGCTGGAAGCGTCGCTGAAACTCTAGAGGAGGTTGCATGGGCCGGAAGACTCTTGCTGAGAAACCAGAGGTGGAGCAAGTGGGAGTTGAGGTTGAGTTGCTCAAAGATTCACAGAGTGATGTTGTAGCGGATACTCATGAAACTCCTGAGACTCTTGCTGAGAAACCAGAGGTGGAGCAAGTGGGAGTTGAGGTTGAGTTGCTCAAAGATTCACAGAGTGATGTTGTAGCGGATACTCATGAAACTCCTGAGACTCTTGCTGAGAAACCAGAGGTGGAGCAAGTGGGAGTTGAGGTTGAGTTGCTCAAAGATTCACAGAGTGATGTTGTAGCGGATACTCATGAAACTCCTGAGACCCTTGCTGAAACACCAGAGGTGAAGCAAGTGGGAGTTGAGGTTAAGTTGCTAAAAGATTCACATAGTGATGTAGCAGATACTCAAGAAACTCCTGAGACTCATGCTGTTGGTGAGGAACCCAGTCTATCATTTAAAATACAGAAGGCGATACCATTTCACTCGGAGGTTGGTTGAAGATGGTGATGTGTTTTGAGAAGATAGAGGGTGCAAAGAATCCAGCAAACATGTTGACAAAATGTGTTGATGTTGGAATATTGAGGTTGTGCGAAACCTCAATTGGTATGGTGCAGTGAAGATGCTCATGGTCGTCTGAGAGTGAAATTCTTGGTTGACTAGATCAGTCTCCAAGTGGGAGAATTGTTAGGCTATGGAGCCTGATACTTATTTATAGCTTGGTCAACGGTTATATCCGGTAAAGCTATATTTGGTAAGCTATATATAGTAAAGCTATATATGGTAAAGCTATATCCGGTAAAGCTATATATGGTAAATAGTTATATATAGTAGATGGCTAAATCTGGTAAAGCTATATATAGTAAACTATACCATATATATATCTGGTCCGGTAGAGCTTTGAAAATGTACTTTTCTCTGTAATTCTCTCTGTACGTACGTGAAGTCATCAATACAAAAAATCCTTTTAGCCAGAGTTCTCCTTGTAACTTCTCTCTATCCTTCTCTTTGTGTTCATCTAGATCGAGGGTGTGCGTTGTTGTGCGATCCTAACAACTGGTATCGATCCTAACAGAATTGACCTTCATATGTTCATCATCATTAACATTAATTAGGGATGTGTCTTAGGAAACTTGTCATCATAACGTGTCATGACATTTAATACATGCACATCATCTTAATATGGAATATCATCATATTAACTCATCTCGTCATTATGCATCTTACATCACGATTTAATCATGCATCATCACCATCATGTCATCATAACATGTACATCATCACATTATTATATAACATCATCACATCGTCATATAACATTATCACATTATCAT